TCTTACTCTTTAAAAATAAAGTAAATAAACACAAAACCTATATATATAAAACGGTAGGAGAACGCTATTTAAAGTCCGCAATGTTATGAATGTTGTTTTATGATTCATTTTATACGAAGTACACTACTCTCGTTGGAGTGGTGGATCTTTGGCCGAGCTACATTTAACCTTTTTATGAAATGTTATAGGGTAATTTAAGTGCATTTTTTTGTTGGGAAAAAGAAAATGTGTGGATCTTTTATCAATAATTTATTGATTTAAGTAAAAAGAATTTAATTTTTTTAAAATAAAATTTTGAATTCGAATCTTATAAATAAAAAAACAATACTGAGAGAACTTCTCTTTAATCGATTTTGAATTAATTGAGATTCAAAGTGATTATCAGATATCGAGATGTTAAAAAAAAAAAAAAACCAAAAACATTGTGTGGGCTCAAGGACAGGTGGAAATAGCTCCCCTTTTAATGGAAATAAATTGTTAATTTTTAAAGTCCTTAATTGGCGAAAAAGAAAAACAGACTGTCCTTATTAAAAAGAGGGACACTCATAAACCTCAAAAGGTACCGAGACCCCCTTCGAGATAAATATATCCCAAATTCCAATTCGTCCCCAACACAAGCATGACCCACAGGGAACTTACCCGGTTACTACAGAAGAAGAAACAAAAGTTCGAAAAAGCGCGTAGAAAAAGTCGGAATCCAAACAGTCCATTAGGACCATTACACATCTACAAATACAAGGGGGAGCCAGAAACGGAGGTTGACGATCAACGGCAACAGCAGCAGCAGCGGCGGAGCAGAAAATGGTGTCGCTCATGAGACTGTTGAGGTACGGAGTTGGGGGCACAGTGGTAGCGGCCCTAGCGGGGATGGCGCTGCTCGTCGCCTTCCAGGAGAATCTCGTTTACGTACCTCTCACCAAGTCCTACGAGATAACGCCCGCCCACCTCCGCCTCACCTACGAGGATGTTTGGCTCCGATCCTCTGATGGGGTTAACCTCCATGCCTGGTTCATCAAGCTCTCGCCCGACTGCCGAGGTCACATCCGATCTCCTTTTTTGGTTTAATTTACTCTTTTTTTAAAGTTGTTGATTCTTTGGTTTGTTTGAGCTAATTAGGGTTTGGGTTTTGGAGCTAGTGGTTTTTGCTGTGTAAGCATTCATTTTTGGGGTGGTGGGATTTAGAATTGAAATTGAGTTTTATAAATGAATTGTCAATGGTTCTTAATTTTGCGTTTTTTTGAAAAGTTTGCTCCCTTTTTCTGCATTATTTTTGCGCTTGGAAATTATATTGTATAATTTGCTTAGTTTTTGTTGTTATAACTTGAAACAAGATTAGAAGTTTATGGTTTTGCCTTCACTGAATATAGCCCAAGATGGGAACCAGGCAATTTCGAGGAATAATATGAAAATAACCATGCTTTTTGAAAAATTTCATTAATCCAGAGCTAAATTGAACTGAATGAGGGCTCGAGTAGCTGCTGAGACTGATGGGATGGGTTTGTGTTCGGTACATAACCTGAATTGCTATGGTGTAAAACTAGAATAGAAAATGATTGGAGACACTTTTTGATCATTGATATGATAAGAAAAGATTTTCGTATAATTCTTTAAAATGCTTATTTATCCATTTAATTTTGTTTCTAGTTCAGTTTTTAGTTGATTACATGGGTCTTAAAAAGCAGTGTTTTTTGCTATTTTTGCAGGTCCAACCATCTTATATTTCCAAGAGAATGCTGGAAGTATCCTTTTCATTATACTTGATTATCTTTAACATTTCTAGGAAGATTTAGGTTCTAATTTTTGTTTTCAAGTCCTTTAGTGGGTACATATTTGCCATAATTTTCCGTTTATGAGAATGAGATCCAATTATCTTGAGCAGCCTTAACTACTGATCTGCAGATATTGCTGACCGTCTTGGAACGGTTCGCATAATGTTGCTGAGGTTGCAGTGCAATGTCTTCATGCTTTCATATCGAGGGTGCATTTCTAGATTAGCTTATTTCAATGCTTTTTTCTTCTGGCTTTGTTCTCTAATTGTAAGGATCTAATGCTCATGAATAATTTACAGCTATGGAGCAAGTGACGGTTATCCTTCTCAGCATGGAATTACCAAGGATGCCCAGGTTGCTATCCCATCTTTGTATTTTGGTTCAAAAATCTACTATCTGAAAAGTAGTGATGCTCTTAATTGCTTATGGCTTTTCCCTTTTGGTTTCTTCTAGGCTGCATTGGATCATCTCTCTCAGCGAACTGACATTGACACATCTAGAATAGTTGTGTTTGGAAGGTCACTTGGGGGTGCTGTTGGGTCTGTGCTGACCAAAAACAATCCCGATAAGGTATCTCTCAAGTAATTGTCAACCATTTGCATTTCTTTCGTTGGGTGTTGCAGCTTAGGGTTTTTTATAGTTTATAAGCATCTGTACTACTTCACCCAGAGTTCATTATATTTTATCATACTTCAAGATCATGCTGGGCTCTGGGGAGCATACTAGTCTTCAATATGTTATTGGTGGCTTATAACCTGGCAAAACCATTGTTTTGTATGCTGCAACTTGAAACCATTTCATTATTAGCCATTGATACAAGTTTGACTTTGATGTTACAACTGGTGGTTGGATTTAGGATGGTTGATTACTTGATTATATAAGTCAAGGAGAAGTTTGGGGCTGGTAAATTGATGTGATTTGTATTAAATCAATGATACCTGTCTACTTTCATAAGTTAGATAGGTATGATTGAGGTCAAAGTTGTACAAAGTATAAGGGTTGAATTGGAAACATTGATTGATGTTGATTAAAGAAATTTTTTCTGGGTTTTGAAGTAGAAACCCCGTACAGAATGGAATGATAAAATGGGTAGTGCTGACAGGCCAAATGGCTGGGACTCAAACATATTTTTAGGCATTGAATGTATGATTATGGGAAATTTTAAATCAATTTAAGGTATCATAGTCATGCACTAACCTATCTTTCATACATCTCACTCAATTGTGAAATTTCCTTGGGTTGATTGATTTCGTTTCATTATTGAATCAGCTCCTCCTATGTGGCTCTAATTGTCTGTCAATTACTACAGTCAATGTGATCTTCCCAATTGTAGGCTAGAGGGGTCATTATAATCACTGCATGACATGCTGCTACCTATAATTGTTAAATTCTGCTTCACTCCCACATACATCACTCAGTTGATTTATAGCTTCCAGATTTTTTTTTGTTAATAGAGGTTATTTCAGTATATTGCAATGAATTTTTCTTTCCCCATTAATAAATCTCCATGATGTCATTCCTTTCCAGTCATATTAGGCATGTTATTTCTTGGTTTATTTATGCATTTCAGGTGGCAGCATTGATTCTAGAAAACACTTTCACGTCTATTCTGGACATGGCTGGAGTTCTGATGCCTTTCCTGAAGTGGTTTATTGGAGGCCCTGGGTCGAAAGGTCCTAAAATTCTGAATTTTCTTGTTCGCTCTCCATGGAGTACCATTGCCATTGTTGGCCAGGTAGAGTTAATTAGAAACCCTTGCTTTTGCTTTCTAGAACCATTTTTAGCAGTATATTGTGATGAATATGGCTGAATGAAACCTCTCACCAACTGGTGGCAATAGGATCAATATAGTCCCATGTTATTGGTTTGCATAGAAGCTTGCAAACCTTTAAGAAATTTGCAACTTAATCGTGAAGGAAAAGGATTTCTGAGATCAATAAGTAGCTGTCTGGATATTCATTATTCTGTTTAATGTATATTACCCTAATAAAGTTAAGGCATATTTTATTGTATGACCATGATTCACTCTGCGCCTATTCTTATTTTTGAATTTACCAAATTCCATTGGCAACATAGCTTTATCAGATTTTCTTATTTCATTTATTAGTTCTTGACAAGCCACTGGAGCTTTTGTTTTACCCTCTTCGGTTCTTCCCCTCGTGTTACATCAGTTAGATATTCTCGTCCTAACTTTAGAATTTGATGTCTCATTCCTGACTACTCCTTGTGGTTTTATTAACTGCAGATTGAGCAGCCAATTCTTTTTCTGTCTGGATTACAAGACGAGATGGTTCCCCCATCACACATGCAAATGCTGTATGCAAAAGCAGCTGTACGTAACAGGCAGTGTGACTTTGTAGAATTCCCTACCGGCACGCACATGGACACCTGGGAAACTGGTGGGGATCATTACTGGAAGACAATCCTGCAGTTCCTAGAACAACACGCGCCCGAGAACAAGGAAAATGAATCATCCCAGTCTCAAAATGAAAACAGTAATATTCTTTTTTCCTAACAAAATATTCACTAAACGTTTGATGCTCATGCCCATCTACTTCACTTATTGATGCCCATCTAATATTTCTTTCAGATTTCAAGGGAAGGTAACTGCTGGCAATTTAAGCATTTCATATATCATTTAACTTACATTAGGAGCTCAAGCCTTGTACCCGATTTTGATGATGCAGCTGTACCAAGAGCTCTTTATGACTTGCTGTCTGCTTTTCCGATCATTTCACCATGAGAAAAAGCTTTCATTGGCATGCAAATATAAGCCTGCCATAACTTAAAACAGAATTCTAGTTCCGCTCTGGTATACCGTATGACGTAGACAGAAGCAGGCTTGAATCCATATCTGATTTATCATGACCAGTTCTTGTTGTATGAAATAATCATGTCTCTTAAAATTTCAGAGGTACAACTTCTGCTTCATCCCGAACCAACTTTGTACTTCAATTTAATTCACAATGGTTTGCAACTTTTCCTTTTATATGTTCTTTTCTTCCCTACGCATGTGGTGAACTGCATTATAGCATTCTCATATA